TTTTGGGAAAATTTTTAGGTAAAAGGGTTTTTTTTAAAAGGGAATTTAAAAGGAAAGGGTTATGGAAAATGTTGTTAAAATGGAGGGGTTTGGAAAGAGGGGAAAAGGATGTTTTTAAAAAAGGGGAAAAAGTTTTTTGGAAAAATTGGGGGCCCCCTTTTACAGGACTGCTCAATTGGGTTGCCCCCTTCCCGGGCTGCCCCCATCGGGTCCCCCCTTTAAATTTGGTTTTTCCCCTTCAACCCCCTTTAAAAACTTGCCTTTTGGATTCCCCCCTTTACAGGGACCTTTCGCTTTGGAGTCCCCCTTTTACTAGGTTTTTCCCATCGGAGTTGCCCCTTTTTTTTAAGTTTTTTCCCATCAAGTCCCCCCTTTTTAAAAGGCTTTTTCCCAAAGATCGCCCTTTTCAAAGTTCCCCATGGGGGCCCCCCTTCTTTGGACTGTTCCCTTCAGATTCCCCAATTTTTAAACCAATGGGAATTTGTTCCCATCAGAGTCCCCTTTTTCCAGGGAAACTTTTCCCATCGAGTGCCCCTTACATGGACTTTTTGCATCGAGTCCCCCTTTACATGGACTTTTTCCCACAGAGTCCCCCTTTAACATCCCTGTTCCCTTGGGAAGCCCCTTACATGGCTTTTTCCCCATCGAGTGCCCCTTTACAGGCTGTTCCCTTCAGAGTCCCCCCTTACAGGGGACTTTTCCCCAAAGGGGGAGGGGCCCCTTTTAAAATTAAAAATTCCATCGGAGTCCCCCCTTTAAAGGACTTTTCGCTTTCAGAGTCCCCCTTTACAGGGCCCTTTTTTCCCCATAAAGAGCCCCCTTTACATGGGACTGTTTCCCACCCAGGTGCCCCCTTAATGGACTTTTTCCCTTCAGAGTCCCCCTTTTTACATAAATTTTTTTCCCATCAAAAGTCCCCCCTTTCCCAGGACTGTTCCCATCAGAGTCCCCCTTTAAAAGGTTTTCCATAAGAGTCCCCCCTTTACTTTACTGTTCCCATCAGAGTCCCTTTTTTACAGGGACTTTTCCCCAGAGTCCCCCTTTTTAAATGGCCCGTTCGCATCAGGCCCCCCCTTTAAACCAGGGGACTTTTTTCCATCAGAGGGGCCCTTTTACTGGACTTTTCCCCCACCGGGGGCCCCCCTTCTTCAGGACTGTTCCCACCAGGGCCCCCTTACATGGACTGTTCCCATGGGGGGCCCCCCCTTTACATGGACTTTTAAAAAAATGGGAAACCGCCCCCTTACATAAATTTCCCCTTCCCGGAAGGCCCCCTTACATGGACGGGTTTCCATCGGAGGCCCCCCTTACATGGACTTTTCCCCATCAGAGTGCCCCCTTTAAAATGGACTTTTTTCCCATCAGGGGCCCCCCCTTCCCTTTTACTTTTTCCCAACAAGTGCCCCTTCCCATGGACTTTTTCCCATAAGGGGCCCCCTTTTCATGGTGTTCCCACAATGCCCCTTACAGGACTTTTCCTCAGGGGGGCCCCCCTTTACGGGGCCCCCTTTCCCCCATCCAGAGGGGGCCCTTTAACCTTGGACCTGTTCCCATCAGGATTTGGTTTAAATGGATTTGTTCCCCCCCGAATTCTTTATCCCCTTTTTTTACTTTGGGCCTTTTTCCCCCCCCAATAAGGGGCCCTTTCCCCCTTTTAACCCCCTGTTCCCACCGACCCGGCCCCCCTTCATTAAAATTTCCCCCCGGGGGAGCGGGCGCCCCCTTCAACCCATGGGCTTTCCCATCGGAGGGGGGGGGCCCCCCTTTAAGGGGGACTTTTCCCATTGGGAGCCCCCCTTAAACTTTTTTGGGGGAACTTTTTTCCCATCGGAGCCCCCCCAAAAAAGGGGGCTGTTCCCCCCCCCGGAGCCCCCCCTTTATAAAATTGGGGAACCTGTTCCCAAAGGGGGCCCCCTTTTTAACCATGATTTTGGTTCCCCCCCCACCCCAAGGGGCCCCCCCCTTAAAAAATTTTCCCCATCAGAGGGGCCCCCCTTACATGGACTGTTCCCATCAAGTCCCCCCTTTTAAATATTTTCCCCAACCGGGGGTCCCCCCTTACAGGACTTTCCACCGGAGTCCCCCTTTTTAAAAATTTCCCCATGGTCCCCCCTTCCAGGCCCCGCCTGGGCCCTTTAAATTTTAAACCAGAGTGATTACAAATTTTCCCCCGAGCCCCCTTTACCAAATTGAGGGGGGGAAGCCCTTTACGGGTTTTAAAACAAGGGAATGGATTTTTTAGTGCGCCCCCCCCCCCAAAATTTTCCCCAATCAACAACCATTTCCGCCCCCATTGGTGCCGATTTTTCCCCCCCCAGATCCCCCAAGGGAGGGCCTTTCATCCCCCTTTTTCCCAAACTTTTCCGTCCTTTCTTTTCCCGGAGCCCCCGGCAGGCCTTTCCCAAAAAGGGCCCCTTAATTGGATTTCCCCCCTTTTCCCTTTGGACTTTTCCAAAAAAGGGGCCCCCTTTAAAAAAGTTCCCTGGGGTTCCCCCTTAAGGAAGCCCGAGTCCCTTTAAAAACTGCCCTTCAGGTCCCCTTAAGGGATGCCCAGGGGGCCCCAAAGGGAAAGCCCCCTTTTGGGGCCCCCAACATTTTTTCCCCTTAGGGAGTCCCCCTTTCCCTTAAATTGTTAAGGCCCCCCCTTTAAAAGCCCCATTTTTTTAAAAAAAAATGGAGGTTTCATGGTTTCCCCATAAAAATTGGGCCCTTTAACCAAACCCTTCCCCCTTTCCTGAATCCCCCCCCCAATCTAGACTTTTCCCCCCCGATGACCAATAAGAAAAACCGGGCCCCAACTTGGGCCCCTAGGGGGCCCCACCAAGCGGCCCCAGGGGTCCCCTTTAATGGCCTGTTAATCCAGTCCCCCACGGCCTTTCCCCCAATAGAGTCCCCCTTTAAACCATAGACTTTTTCCCCTCAGAGTGCCCCCTTACATGGACTGTTCCCATCAAGTCCCCCCCTTACATGGACTTTTCCCCATCAAGTCCCCCTTTACATGGACGGGTTTCCCACACCAAGTCCCCCCTTTACAGGGAAAGGGTTAAAAATCAAAATCCCCCTTTACAAAAAATTTTTCCCCATCGGGGGTCCCCCCTTACATGGACTGTTTTCCACCAGTCCCCCTTTTTCAGGGACTTTTTCCCATCAGAGTCCCCCTTTTTTACAAAAAAGTTCCCAAAAGGTTTCCCCCCCTTTACATAAACTTTCCCACAAAACCCCCCTTTCCCGGGACTTTTCCCCCATCAGAGTCCCCCCCTTTACAGGGCTTTTCCCCATAAAGAGCCCCCCTTTCCCAAGGTTTTAACCCAAGGTGCCCCCTTACTTTAACTTTTTCCATCAGAGTCCCCCTTTACGGGCCCTTTTCCCATTAAGTCCCCTTTTACAAAATTACCCATCAGAGGGGCCCCTTTCATGGCCGGTTCCCATCAAAGTGCCCCTTCAAAACGGAAAAAAAAGGAAATTGGGAACCTGCCCCTTTAATCCCCCTTTTAACATGGACTGTTCCCATCGAGTGCCCCCCTTTTACTTTTAAACTGTTTTTCCCTTTCCCGGGCCCCCCCCTTACATGGACTTTTCCCCCTTTAAAATGCCCCTTTACATAACTGTTCCCATCAGAGCCCCCCCTTTCCCATGGACGTTCCCATCGAGTCCCCCCCTTTACAGGGGACTGTTCCCACAGAGTCCCCCTTTTACTTTGGTTGCCCTTAAGAGTCCCCCCTTCAAAATACTTTAACTCCCCCATCAGAGTGCCCCTTTACAGGGAAACTTTCCCCCTTCGGGAGTGCCCCTTTACATGGACCTTTTCCCATCAGAGTCCCCCTTTACATGGACTTTTCCCATCAAGTCCCTTTTTTTAAAGGGGGACTGTTTCCATCAAGTCCCCTTTACAAATTGTTCCCATCAGGGGTTCCCCCCTTTACGGACTGTTCCCACCCGGGGGCCCCCCTACTGGGACTTTTTCCCCATCGGATTTCCCCTTTTTAAAAGGAATTTTCCCCACCCGGGGGCCCCCTTTTACCGGGCTGTTCCACCCAAGTCCCCCCTTTAAAGGCCTGCCCCTTTCGGATCCCCCTAAAAATAGACTGTTCCCACCAGAGGGGCCCCCTTACTTTGGAAACTTTTCCCCATCGGGGGGCCCCCTTACATGGACGCCCCCAAATCAAAGACCCCCCTTTAAACAGGGGACTGTTCACATCAGAGGCCCCTTTCATGGACTGTTCAAATGGGGGACTGTTTCCCCTTACTAAACTGACCCAAAACGGAGTGCCCCCTTACATGGACTTTTTCGCATCAGAGGGGCCCCTTTTTTCCAGGGAACTTTTTCCACAGAGTCCCCCCTTACATGGACTTTTCCCATCAGAGTGCCCCTTTACATGGACTGTTCCCATCGAGTCCCCCTTTACATGGATGTTCGCATCAAGTGCCCCTTTACATGGACTTTTCCCCCATCAGAGTCCCCCTTTACATGGCTTTTCCCATCAGAGTGCCCCCTTTACTTGGACTTTTCCCCCATCAAGGGGCCCTTTACAGGACTGTTCCCATAAAGGGGGCCCCTTTACAAGGGACGGGTTTCCCCATAAAGTTTTGATTTCCCCCCCCCTTATATGGACTTTTTTCCATCAGAGTCCCCCTTTTTTTCAAAAAATTGTTGCCATCGAGGGGCCCCCTTAAAATTGACTTTTTCCCATGGGGGAGGGGCCCCTTTTTACACGGACGTTTCCCAGGGGGGAAGTGCCCCTTTCCCGGACGTTCCCATCGGGGGGAGTCCCCCTTTACTTGGGGACTGTTCCCATCAGAGTCCCCCCCCTTACATGGCTTTCGATCAGGTGCCCCCTTTCATAGAATTTTTCCCAAATCAGATTTCCCCCTTTACAAAAAATGTTCCCATCAGAGCGCCCCTTTTACTTGGACTGTTCCCTGGGGAGTCCCCCTTTTAAACCGGACTTTTCCCCTTTGGGAAAAGTCCCCCTTTTTAATAGCTGTTCCCATCAGAGTCCCCCCTTTAAAAGGACTGTTCGTATCAGAGTGCCCCCCTTTCATAAAATGTTTCCATCAGGATTTCCCCCTTTTTCATAAATTTTCCCCATCAGACGTCCTTTACAGGGAAATGTTCCCCGGGAAGCACCCATTAAAAGGGACTGTTCCCTTTAGGTGCCCCCTTAAGGGATTGTTCCCATCAGGGGTCCCCCCTTTACTTAGATTGTTCCCATCAAGTGCCCCCCTTAAATTTGGACTTTTTCCCACAGAGCCCCCCTTACATAAATTTGTTTCCATCGGGTTTTTCCCCCTTTACGGGACTTTTTCCCATCAGAGCCCCCCCTTACTTTGGACTGTTCCCATCAAGTGCCCCCTTACATGCAGTTTTTCAACCGGGGTGCCCTTACACGGAATTTCCCCCCTAAGGGGCCCCTTTTTTTCCCTTTTTGGCCCCCCCAACCCCCCCTTGGCTCAGGGGATTTTGGGAAAGGAAATTCCCGAGCCCTGTGGGGGGGCCGCATTGATCGGAGCCGGTTTTTTTAACGGCATTTGTAATACATGGGAAATTGGTTGTAGGGGCCCCCCCCCTCCCCCGCACATTTCCCAATTTTCACAAAACATTTCCGTTACATTGGCTCCGTTTGGGTTCCCCTCCCAGATGACAGAGGGGCCCCTTGCACTCCACACACTTCCCAAAACAGGGTTCCGTCCTCCCGGATTTTGTCGCGCCTTCTGACCGAGCCCCTGCTCAGCCCTAGATTTCCTCCCTCCTTTTGACGTCAAAAAGGGGGCGGGGTTTAGATTTCACCCTGGGTTGTTTAAGGGGACCACGCTGTCCCTTGGGGGAAGTCCCTGCACAGTGCTGAGGGAGTGGGGGGGGCCTTTTGCAGAATGGGCTCCAATTTGAAGGTCACTGTTACCTGTCAAGTGGAGCTCCACTCAATACCTCGATTTTTAGTTACATTAAAGTTCATTTTTTTAAAAAAAAGGGGGGGAGGGGGAGGTCAGGGTGTTTCCAGTCAAAATTGGAGACCCTTTCGCAACCAAACCCCATTGTCTGAATAGAGCCCCCCCCAGTTAGACTCCCCCCCTCCGATGGGGCAATAAAAAAAAGGGGGCCGAGAAACTGTGGCACCCCGGGGGAGGCGGAGCTGAGGAGGCAGCAGGAGGAATGCTTGTGAGATGCCTGTAGTGAATGCTTGGAGCGGGCCTCCCGGGCCCTCTTTTCCCATCAGAGTCCCCCCTTACATGGACGTTCGCTTAGATCCCCCTTTACTTGATCTGTTTCCCCATCAGAGTGCACCCCTTACATGGACCTGTTTCCCTCAGAGTGCCACCTTACATGGACTGTTCCGCATCAGAGTGCCCACCTTACATAGATTGTTACCATCAGAGTGCCACCTTACATGGTCTGTGCCCATCAGAGTGCCCCTTAACATGGACTGTTCCATCAAGAGTGCCCCCTTTACCATCAGATTGTTCCCCCATCAGAGTCGACCCCTTAACATGGCCTGCTTTCTCCATCTGGAGTGCCCCGCTTACATTGACTGTTCCCATCACAGAACGTGCCCCCTTACATAGATATGTTCCCAGCAGAGTGCCCCTATACAATAGATTGTTCCCATCAGAGCTGGCCCCCTCTGACATGGACTATTCACCCATTCAGACTGGCCTCGTTACATGGGACTTGTTCTGCACATCAGGAGTGCCCACCGTTACATAAACTGTTTCCATCAGTAGTTCCCCCTTACATAAACTCTTTCCCATCAGAGTGCCCCTGTTACAAGGACTGTTCCATTATCAGAGTGCCCCCTGTACATGGTCCTGTTCGCATCAGTGTGCCCCCTTTTCATAAAATTATCCATCAGAGTTCCCCCTTACATAAACTGTTTCCCTTCAGAGTGCCCCTTCCTACCCTTTCATAGAATTGTTCCACATCAGGAGTGACCCCCTTAAATGGAACTTTTTCCCCTCGGAGTGCCACCTTACATAGACTGTCCCATCAGAGTGCCCCCGATCACATGGGACCTGTTCCCTCGGCTGTGCACCTCTTACATGGATCTGTTCCCATCAGAGGTGCCCCAACTTACACCTTAAATAGGACGTTTCCCATCCAGAGTGCCCCTTTACATAGATTTGTTCCCATCAGAGTGCCCCTTTTACATGGGACAAGTTTCGCATCAGCAGAGTGTCACTCTTACATAAAATGTATTCCATCATAAGTTCCCCCTTATATGGACAGTTTCCCATCATAAGTCGCCCCTTTTACATAGAATTGTTCCCAATCAGAGTTGCCCCCTTACATGGAACTGTTCGCAATCAGAGTGCCCCTTTACATAGATTGGTTCCCATCAGAGTGCCCCTTACATGGACTGATCCCATCAAAGTGCCCCTTTACAAGATTGTTCCCATCAGAGTGCCCCCCTTACATGGACTGTTCCCATCAGAGTGCCCCCTTACATGGAACTGTTCCATCAGATGCTTGCCCCTTTTTACAGGACTGTTTCCAATCAGAACGCTCCCCCCTTACATGGACTGTTGTCCCACTCTAGAGGATGTGCCCACCCTTTACATGGACTGTTTCCCATCACAGTGCCCCCTTACATGGACTGTTCCATCAAGAGTGCCCCCTTACATGGACTGTTCCCATCAGAGCGCCCCCTGTACATGGACTCGTTCCCATCAGATGCGCCCCTTTACATGCGCGACTGTTTACCAGCCAGAGTGCTCCCCCCTTACAAGCGGACTGTGTTCCCATCAGAGTGACCCCTTACATGGAACTGTTCCCATCTCTGAGTGCCCCCTTATATGGACTGTTTCCATCAGAGTCGCCCTTTACATGGCTCATTGATCCATCAGAGTGCCCCGTTGCATGGACTGTTCCCATCAAAGATGCCCCTTAATTGGAGCTGATCCCATCAGAGAGTGCCTTTTACATTGGGACTGTTTCCCATAATACATTATAGGTGCCGCTTACACTGTTGGATGTGTTCCCATCAGAGTGCCCCCTTACTTACATGGACTGTTCCCATTTCTAGATTGTAATAACTCGAAAGAGCAGGGCCCTGATCGATCCCCCCCATGTTTTTGCATTGTGTATTGGTATGTGTCTGTCAACCAGTTCTGTCCCCCTTGTAATGTACAGCGCTGAGTGAACTATGTGGCGCTTTATAAATACTGTATAATATAATAATAATATTAATCAGAGTGCCCCCTTACATGGACTGTTCCCATCAGAGTGGATCCTTTACAAGACTGTTCCCATCGGAGTGCCCCCCTCTTACATAAAACTGTTCCTATCAAAGGTGCCCCCTTTACATGGAACTGTTCCCATTAGAGTGCCCCTTACAAAAAATTGTTTCCATCAGAGTGCCCCGTTGCATGGACCTGTTCCCATCAAAGTGCCCCTTAATTGGTATGTCTTGATCCCCATCGGAGTGCCCCCTTTAACGATGGACTGTTCTCATCTTATAGTGCCCTTACATGGACTGTTCCCATCAGAGAGTGCACCCCTTACATTAACTGTTCCCCATCAAGTGCTCCTTTACATAGGACTGTTCCCATCGGAGTGCCCCCTTAATGGACTGTTTCCCATCAGAGTGCCCCCTTACATGGACTGTGTTCCCATCGGAGTGCCCTTTACATGGACTGATTCCCATCGGAGTGCCCCCTTACATGGACTGTTCCCCATTTCAGAGTGCCCCTTTACATGGTTTGAACCCATAAGAGTGCCCCTTACATTAACTGTTTCCCATCAAAGTGCCCTTTACATGGACAGTACCCCATCAGAGTGCCCTTTACATGGGACTGTAGTGACCATCAGAGTGCCCCCTTATTGGATGGACTGTTTATCCATTGAGTTGCCCCTTTACATAAATTTGTTGCCATCAGAGAGTGCCCCCTTTGACATGGACTGTTCCCTTCGGAGTGCCCCCTTACTCGGACTGTTCCCATCGTAGTGCCCCTTTACACGGACTGTTAACATCGGAGTGCTCCTTTACACGGACTGGTAAAATCGAGCTGTGCCTCCTTTACACGGACTGTTTCCCATCGGAGTGTGCCCTTTACATGGACTGTTCCCTTACGGAGTGCCCCTTTACATGGACTGTTCCCATCGGAGTGCCCCCTTACATGGGACTGTTCCCTATCAGAGTGCCCCCTTTATAGAATGTTTCCATCAGATGTTCCTCCCTTTACATAAACTGTTCCCATCAGTGCGCTCCTTTACATGGACTGTTCCCATCAGAGTGCCCCCTTACATGGACTGCTGTGTTCCCATCAGAGCGCCCCCGTAAATGGACTGTATCAGAGCACCCCCTTGACATGGACTGTTCCCATCGGAGTGCCCCCTTACATGGAACTGTTCCCATCAGAGTGCCCCCTTACATGGACTGTTCCATCAGAGTGCCCCCTTACATAGACTGTTCCCATCAGCGTGGTACCCCTTTACATGGACTGTTCAAATCAGAGTGCACCCCTTACATGGACTGTCCCATCAGGGTGCCCCCTGTTAAATGGACTGTTTCCCATCAGAGTGCCCCCTTACACGGACTGTTCCCATCAGAGGTGCCCCCTTACATGGACTGTTCCCATCAGGACATGGACTGTTCCCATCAGAGTGCCCCCTTACATGGACTGTTCCCATCAGAGTGCCCCCTTACATGCAGTGTTCCAACCAGAGTGCCCCTTACACGGACTTTCCCACTCCTGAGTGCCCCTTTATTTCATGTGCCCCTCCACCCCAGCCTGGCTCATAGATGATTGGACGGATTCTCCGAGTCCTGTAGGGGGCGCATTGATCGGAGCCGGCTTTACGGCAGTGTAATACATAGGAATGGATTGTAGTTCGCCCCTCCCCCGCACACTTCATATCACACAATCATTTCCGTTACATTGGCTGCCGATTGTTCCCCTCCCAGATGACAGATGGCGCTCTGTCACTCCACACACTTACCACACGTCCGTCCTCTCCGGAGTGTCGCTGCCTTCTGAGCCGAGCCCCTGCTCAGTCTAGACTCCTCCCTCCGTTGACGTCATAAAGGGGCGGGGCTAGAGTTCAGCTCGGTTGCTAAGAGACCATCGCTGTGCTTAGAGAAGCTGCCTGCACGGTGCTGAGCGGAGTTGAGGGGGGCTGCAGAATGGAGCTCCAATTTGAAGGTCACATGTTACCTGTCAAGTGGAGCTCCACTCAATACCTCTGATTGTTAGTTACATTAAAAGTTCATTTTTTTTAAAAAAAAAGGGGAGTGGAGGTCATGTGTTTCCAGTCAAAATTGGAGATCCATTCTGCAACCAAACCCCATTGTCTGAATAGAGCCCCACCCCAGTCTAGACTCCTCCCTCCGATGAGGCAATAAGAAAGGGGCAGAGCAACTGTGTGCAGCCAGGAGGCGAAGCTGAGGAGCGGGCAGGAGGAATGCTTGTGAGATGCTCTGTAGTGAATGCTTGTGAGCTGCCTGCACGGCTCTATTCCCATTAGAGTGCCCCCTTACATGGACTGTTCGCATCACTGTTTTCGGTAGCCCCTTTACAATGGAACTGTTCGCAATCCAGTTTCGCCCCCTTACATGGACTGTTCACCATCAGAGTTCCCTTTTTCTACAAGGGACTGTTCGACAACAGTAGTGTGTGCCCCCTTTACATGGACTGTTACAAATCATAGTGCTCCTTTACAAAAGACTGTTCCCATCATAGTGCCCCCTTATATGGACTGTTTCCATCATAGATCCGCCCTTGTACATAAATTTGTTGCCATTCAGAGTGCCCCCTCTTTACTCTGGGGACTGTTCCCCATCGGGAGAGTGCCCCTTTTACAAAGGGACTTGTTCCCATCCGTAGTGCTCCACTTTCACGGACTGTTCCCATCCGAGTGCCCCTTTACATGGACTGTTCCCATCCGAGTGCCCCTTTACATAGAGTGTGTTCCCATCAGAGTTGCCCCCTTACATGGACTGTTCGTCATCAGGGAGTGCCCCCTTTCATAGAATGTTTCCCATCAGAGTTCCCCCCCTTTACATTAAACTGTTTCCCATCAGAGCGCTCCTTTACAATGGACTGTGTTCCCAACAGAGTGGCCGCCTTACATGGACTGGTTATCCTATCAGAGTACCCCTTTAACCTGGGACTGTTCCCATCACAGAAGTACCCCTTTACATGGACTGTTCCCATTCAGAGAGCCCCCTTATAACCAAAAACAATGGACTGTTCCCATCATGTGTAGTGCCCCCTTACACTTCGGACTGTTTCCCATCAGAGTGCCCCCCTCCTTACACCGACTGGTTCCCCATCAGAGTGCCCCCTTACACGGGTGTGGGGGGGGGGACTGTTCCCCATCAGAGTGCCCCCATACAACGGACTGTTTCCCATCAGAGTTGCCCCCTTAACATTCAGTGTTTCTAACCAGAGTTGCCCCATACGCGGAAATTTCCTCCACCGGAGTAACCCTTTTATTTCATGTTGCCCAC